GAGCAAATACATGGGCCAACGTCATTCAGGCGCTTCGAACTGCAGAAACTTATTCCGTTTCAAACTCTACATGTATTACTTTCCGAAAGTGTACAAACTTGTATGACTACATACAAATGTATAGATTAATATTGAATCTGCCAAGGATTTGTTGAAACCGTTCAAATCCCAAAGATTATATACTCTCGCTCTCTTCTTTCCTATCACTTGTTGTATGGTGTATTGACCAAAAATTAACGAAAGCATTCTCACATTGTATGGGTTTTTTAATTTACGATCCTTTATAGGCTCATAACCGCTCACTTATTACTCCTTTTGCCTGTCGGATGGTATATGATGAAACTGAACATCGAACTGTGATATACAATTAAGTTAACCGAAGTATTCTTACAATTTATAGACTTTTTTTAATTTACGATCCTTGTAAAGAGCTTTTATGAGCTCATGACCGCTCACTTATTACTCCTATTGCCTGCCAGATGGTGCATGATGAAAGTGAGCATCGAACTGTAATATACTATTAAATTAACGAAAGCATTCTTACAATTTTTAGGCTTTTTTAATTTACGATCATTGTAAGGAACTTTTATGGACTCATGAACGCATAGTTATTACTCCTATTGTCTGTCGGATGGTGCATGATGAAACTGAGCATCGAACTATGAAATACAATTAAGTTAACCGAAGTATTCTTACAATTTATAGACTTTTTTTAATTTACAATCCTTGTAAAGAGCTTTTATGGGCTCGTGACCGCTCACTTATTACTCCTATTGCCTGTCAGATATGATGCATGATGAAAATGAGCATCGAACTGAGATCGACATGTTCTTTTAGCTAAAGCATTCCTACTATTAATTGATCTTTTTTAATTTTTGATCATTGTAAAGAGCTTTTATCGATTTGTGAGTTCTCGCTTATTACTCCTATTGCCTGTCGGAACTGAGTATCGAACTGTAAATTAAATTAGCGAAAGTTTTCTTACAATTTACGGACTTTTTTAAATTTACGACCATTGTAAGGAGCTTTTACGGACTCATGAGCTTTCGCTTATTACTCCTATCGCCTGTCGGATGGTGCATGATGAAACTGAGCATCGAACTTTGATCGACAATTAAATAAAATATTATTACAATTTCAATGGCTCGGTTTTTGCCCTTTAACCATAAACCATATTCTTCTGATTGTTATTATTACGATGTTCTCTTACAAAATGCACTTTCCGTTGTCTTAAATATTTATGAGAAGACGTTTCTATAAATACTATCTCATATTAAGAATCAATATTTTGTATTGTTCCATTTCCATATCCTTGCATGTTCGTAGCTACCCTATACAAACAACCCCGAGGCTTACTATATTTGTTTACAATATAGAAGCATGGATGGATCAGATATATTGAGATTGGGATATAACCACAGCGTCGTCCTTTATGAAGCCACTTTAAAAAGTTGAAATAGTAAACCGTTTTGAAAACTTTCCATCCTCCTCCTACGATGTCTGTGTTGGGTGGCACAGCGGAAAATGTTAAGTAACGAGCTCCTAAGCTTGTAGGTATATTGTAGGTGAATACGCTTATACGTTTGACGATGTGGAATTTATTGCATGCTGATATTTACAACGTGAATACTTTACAGGCAATAGAAACTTGGCTAGCAATAAGTTGAAGTTTTCGCAGGTAATGAATACATCGGCAGAGCAACTTAAAAATGAGCAACTTTGTTGCATCTGCCGTAAAGTTTTCGATTGAATTTAAAACAGATGTTGCACCCCCAACCCCTCTCGTTGTTTGCCTTGGCGGAAAGTTTCGATATCGAATAAACTTTTTCATTCACATTTTACATTATTACATCGGCATAAATTTGTTATAGCATTCGTCAATCCAAACGTCCCACACAAAAATACTTAAAAAGACAAGAAACATATCTGACATACAAGAGCCGAAAACGAGCACGTGTTAGTGACTTTACTCACTTTTAGAAAATACTACAAATGGAGCATACGTAATCCTAAAATGTAGCATCCTGCTACAGATGGCGTTTACTGCGCCATTTGAAGTATTTTCTAAAACGCACTGTTAAGACAGCAGGTAAAATTTGTTCTGGATTCTGTCGGAGCTGCCTGCGACGCGCTGATGAGATCCAAAAAGATAGAAATCGCGATCCGCGTCTGGCAGTTTCGACAGAATACAGACCACTTCGAATTATTTTATTCGATTAAGCTAACGTGCACATCACGTTGAGGTTGGCTACGCCGGGATTCGTTTTCAGCAAGTAGATATCCAGACAAGTGGACCTTGTTGGAGCATACGTAATCCTAAAATGTAGCATCGTGCTACAGATGGCGTTTACTGCGCCATTTGAAGTATTTTCTAAAACGCACTGTTAAGACAGCAGGTAAAATTTGTTCTGGATTCTGTCGGAGCTGCCTGCGACGCGCTGATGAGATCCAAAAAGATAGAAATCGCGATCCGCGTCTGGCAGTTTCGACAGAATACAGACCACTTCGAATTATTTTATTCGAATTATTTTACTCACTTTTATCATGCCAACAAAAAAGTGCAGTGCGCTATGGTGATTGCCTGTGTAATGTTCGTGATTTTTTCCAGAAAAAGAGAAAATGTAACCAAGTGAAGCGGGTTGTCGTTAGCCATATAAATTCGACTATAAAAAGTTTGAACAAGACATAAAAAACAAAAATTTTTGTATGTCGTTGTTTTTTTTTTTTTTGAAGACAGTTTGATGGCTTATTTTACAAATTAATCAGTAAAGTTCCCCAAAGTGGTTGTGGGCCGTTGGTTTGTGGCATTAATGACTTCTTCTTTGGCGTGTAATTTATTTTCTTGGCGAACTAATCAATTTGACGTTGGCAAGTAGTAGGAAGTAGGTGACGGTCTCGCTTTCGCCAGAACTTAACTCTAATTAACCCAATTTATTAAAAACTCCCCGAAAACCGAACAAAAATTTTAGAATGATATAGTATGACCATTTTAATACTTTTTACGGAAAAGGTAACTGATAATGCCTTCATTTATTGTAGACACTTCTAAAGGAAATTGATAAGGAGCTAATTCAATAAAATATTAATTCATCAACTTAACGTTTCATTGTAAACGATCACCAAAATCTAAGAGAATTTTAGATTATTAAATTAATATAAATCGATAATAATACAATGTCTTCAAGTATATTGAACGTTTAGTATTTGTGGTATAGCTTTACTTACTGCGCTTAAGCTAGCATTGCAAAAGAGATCAATGTGTCAGTGTTATAGGTCAGTGAAGTATAGTATTATGGCATATTCCAAATACTGGACGTTTTTACGCGACTTGGAATAATTTTTGTAGTGTACATACATTTGTGTAGTGTACATACATTTGTGTATATGTGTTTACTAGTGTTTTAATTAACCAGCCACGAACAAAGTGATTATTTAATTAATCTTTATCGTAATGCCCGTATGTAGTAGCGTACTATTAAGCTGTTGATATTTATTTCATTAGTCGCTCCACACCATCACTGTTTACGTTCTCCTTCCACATAGCAGTTCAGTTATTATCGCAATTCTCTGTTCGTTGTCAAGTCACGCCCAGGGCCGGCTTCAGATTGTAACTTCTTCTGGTTTTCCTATAATATTGTCGCTTAGCCACTCTGCTTTACTCCCTATTGCATCTAAGACCCTCTAAAGCTTGCTACTTATTTCAGAAACATCCAGTATGTAGGTACATATAGGCAGACAGACGGACATAAAGTTTGTGCAGTAACTTTTGCGTATTATGCATTTCATTTCGAAGAATTCGCATGGGATTTAATGCAACAGAAAAGTAAAATACGTACTCGGTAAGAAGTTTTTCCGAAGTGGGTCAGGAGTGTGACATGTTGGCAGTGATTCTTGCCGAGTTGGTATACCTACCTGCAAATACCACGATACTTGTGCTATAACGGGACAAACGAATAGTCACGTAATGCGATTCGAATTTCTGCTGGGCGAAAGACGATGCCGACTTGCACGAACTCTTATCATTAGTTTCCTTTCCGATTTTAAACTTTGTCCGGAAGTTCGGAAGCCGTAATTTATCAAAAAAAAAAAACTAGTCAAACCGCACCATTGGAAATATATAGAGGTATAAACAAGTCGAGATAATGTTCAGAAAAATATATAGATTGGGTACTATGCAGAAACTATTTCAAATTTACTGGAAAAAGTTTTGACTCGCAGCGGGCTCATTTCCGACTCACTATAACAGCAATGCAGGAACCTCTTGTGTTATCGAATAAATCAAATAGGTAAAAGGCCCAGTTTCTGACACTCTAAGAGTGACAGCTGAGATTATATTACGATAACTAAAATAATATTTAATTAGAATAAATAATTTTTATACTATAAACAAGTTCAGAGTTTCTAGAAAAACTCATATACGCGATATAATTATTTGAAGCGAATTAGTAATTTTAATTAATGATTTAAAAAGTGATGTTTGAAGACCCAGTTTCTGACACTTAAAATTTCTTGTGTTGTAGTTTCTGACACTGCCATCGGCCTAGTTTCTGACACTCATATTTGGNCGAAGTGTCACAGTATCCCTATAGCTATACTACTTATAATGATTATTTCACTGATTGAATCGTCGAACGCGCATCTATAATTTGCTTAGACCATAACTAAAAAATGGCTTCCGCTATCACTCCACACTTAAAAACTTTTTTTTATTAAGTTTTCTTATTTTTTATTATTGTGCTTGTCATTAATTAGGTACAGAATAAATTTATTTTAATTTTTAAAAAATTTATTAACCCACTTAAGATCTTTTTTTTGTTTTAATTCAACATAAACCTAAAATTGTCAGAAACTGGGCCAGTGTCAATAACTGGGTCTTTTACCTTATGTACTTTCTGGCATTGATGTTTTTAATGTTAAATATTAGCAGTAACATTTATGTGGGCTAATAACATACAAATACTATTGGTACCTTATCTAACTAGTTTTCTTTTTTGTTACAGGATATTTTTGGCACATCACCGATTTTCATTATGATCCATTCTTTGAGGACGTAAAAAAAGGTAAACAATTTACACATTTTTTGCAGTAATTAATACCAGTTGATAGACATAATTTCTGGTTAAAGAACAATTTTATTAACAGTGGATACTATCGGCAATATTACACAAAACTTAAACGTAATTTGTATTTGAACTGAAACGTAACTTTACAAAAGTGTTGAAGTGATGTTTATAGAAAGTTTGTTCAATTTCCTTAATCCGTCAAGTTACAGTGGTGGGTGAGGTGTCCCATCAATGGTGGCCCGGTTATAAAGGCTCTTCTAGTCACCTCAACTAGTATAGCGCATTTCAATTTATCCTCTAGCACCGTATAATCCTATCCCGGTCGTGAACTGCTACCACGGCACTATCACTATTGATACATGATTCGGAACTTCCCATTCAGGAAGTCGAGAATCGGAAATTAATTGAATCCATTCCGTAGAGGAAATTGAAAATTTCAGACGAAAATGCAAATAACGTTATCCCTAAAACAACAGAACCGTTCCATCTATATAGGTATAAGTACAGTCGAACCAATAGATTGTTTGGAATAAGTGAAACAAATCAATTAGTAGAGATATAATATTAGATCCTAAACAAAAGAAAGTAGGAAACCCTGGATAACAAACGGGATTGTAAGACAAGAGAAGAAAGGCGGAAATACAAAAATAGGAGAGACCAAAAAAGATGTAAGGCGATAAAGAGGGAAAGAATTAGGGCAACCAAGGAACAGTGGATTGATATGAATTGTAAAGAATCGAAAAGTTTGAAGTAGGTAAAACGGATTAGGCTTATAGTAAAAGGAATTTTAGAGTAGTAGGGTGCAGTAGAAACGATATAAGAAACTAGGCAGGAGTCATTTTGATAGAAAACGAGGAAGAGGCAGATATATATTTAGATAACTTACAAACAGGTCATGAGTTAGGAGATATATTATAAGGAAAATAGTAAGGAGAACCAGATTATCCTATAATTATAGAAGAGTTTGATGTAGCATTAAAAACTCAAAGAATAAATGAGTCAAAAATATTAACTAGAATCGTACAGAGAAGGATGGTAAGAAGGGCGGAAGAATTACTAGGGGAAGATCAATTTGAGTTTAGATAAAATAGAAAAAACAATAGAAAATGACAAGAAGGCGTACATAGGATTTGTAGATTTAGAAAAAGCTTTTGACAATGTTAAATGAGACAAGATGTTAAATATACTTAAGAATGTAGGGATCGCGAAATAAATAAGTGAGTAAAGTGAGTAGTACTGAAGAGTTTACTTTATTCCAGGTTGTTGGAAATCGGTTATAGAAGGAGGAGTGAGGAATTACAAGAAACTCGTCGGGCGTTTCGGAGATTATCGTTGCGATTCTCCCTGGGAGCTCATTGAATCTGCCGCAAGAATTATGGCCGCCCGGCAGGGAGATAATGTAGAGTTTGTACTCTGGACTGGGTAAGTAATTTTAAATAAACTACGATAACGCTACCTGCCTTCTATATTCATATCGATTACCATCTACCCTATATTTCGAGAGCACGCACACCCCTAACGTGCTTAAGCTTTTCTAAAGAATAATTTCGATTCTTCTAAAGCTGAAACAATAATTGTACGTACATACATACATGTATGAAAGTATGTATTAGTTTGATAATAATTTAAAACAAACATTCCAAAAAAAATTGTATTCTACAGAAACGCAGGGCGCCGTGCGTATAAAGGGCCCCCTTCCCTCATGGGAGAAAACACAGACCAACTTTTACCTGCTGTCTTAACAGTGCGTTTTAGAAAATACTATATTGGCGCAGTAAACGCCATCTGTAGCACGATGCTACATTTTAGGATTACGTATGCTCGTGCTACAGATGGCGTTTACTGCGCCATTGTAGTATTTTCTAAAACGCACTGTTAAGACAGCAGGTAAAGGTTGGTCTGTGTTCTGCCGGAGCTGCCTGCGACGCGCTGATGAGATCCAAAAAGATCGAAATCGCGATCCGCGTCTGGCAGTTTCGACAGAATACAGACCACTTCGAATTATTTTANCAGTTTCAACAGAATGCAGACCACTTCGAATTACTTTAATAAAAAAATAATCTAAATGCTTTATAATTTAAATATATAACAGAACTAAAAACAATTTCCCTATTTTTTTTCTTATCATTAAATAGAAAATAGTTTTTTGACAAAATGGTAATCATATTGATTAATTAAGTAAGCCTCAAAGTAGTGGTAGTCCCCTGAATGTGATGTTATCTCCTTATTATGCTTTAAATATTAGAACAAGAAGTAGATGTACATTGAGAGACCTTAAGTTTCAGCTCGATGCTTCGCGTCACTATACGTCGATCGTAGATGTCGCGAACGTCGTTTAAATGTAATTTAGAGTTTAGCCGGAAGTTATTCGAACAGTTTCCAACAACTTGCGCAACTGCTACCGAAGTCGTCAACTCTGTCGCCTTTGTCGTTCGACTTACTCCAAATCCACCCACTCGCTTACCTACCTGACAATCTCTTTGCTACTATGTAACACACTCCTCATGATACTTTCATAATCCCATCAACCCCCACATGTATATCATTATTATTAGCCCTCATAAATAGTCAGGTGCTACGTCGTCTGGAATTAACAAATGCTAAATTTATATAAAAGACACATGAGATAATGAGACGTAAATAGCAAACTTCTCTTCGAGAGATTACTTATTAACGACTTACGAAAGTTTATTATTGACTGAATTTATTTAGTCACAATCGTTGATGGTAGATTCCGTCTTTATTTCGCGTCATTATAAGGAAGAAGTACATAAAACGATAGTGACGTCGAAAGTTAAAAACGATTCAAAAGCTTCTTTCTTTCAGTGAAAACAATGGCGCTGGTTCTCGCTGAGATGGACGCTTTCTTGCGAAGGGTTGTGATGGTTTCAGAGTATCACAACGTGCAGGAAGTTTTTAGTCGTTTGTTGTACAAGTCGGTCTACTTTTAGCAAAGAAATTGAAACGCTAATGTACATGAATAGACAGAAAAATATCAACGAATTCATTTGTTGAAACGAGATTTCTTTTTATTTTCATTTAACCGGAACTTCAATATTCTGAAAGAATAATTGTAATCTCTTCGTGAAGATTCTTTTATAAGCCACAACTTTATCCAATCCTAAATTGAAATGTGGGTACAAACAGTATGGGATGAATTATTTTTTTGTTTAAAAACGTTACCCATAGATGAATAAAAACAAACTTTATTTGTTTAGATGTTCGCGAGATAAAAATGTTCAGTCTCTCAGAGTCTCTGAAAGCGAGACTCGAGTCTCCGTCTCTCTGGTGTCGCTGAGAGACTCTCAAAAAAATTGTTTAGCGTCTCTGAACCAGAGACTCGAGTCGCTCATAGAGAGATCCTCATTTCGTATTCACTCTCTAAACGGGAGACTCGAATCTCTCAATAAGTGGTGTCTCGATAAACATGGTTAAAATTTTCTAAATTCAACATATTTCAGAGATCCCAGTCATTTTACGAGAGACTCGAATCTCTCAACTTTTCAGTTATATTCATTCAGTCTCTCTGTGAGAGACTCGAATCTTTGAATTAACAATTTTATCGTTCGAGTCTCTCATACAGAGACTGTGAGAGATCCATAAAAACACCTAGACAATAACTGAGAGACTGAGAGACGCTCTCAGAGACGCTGAAAGACTCTTAAAGACTCTGAGAGACTGGAGAGAGACTGAAAATTTTTGTCTAGGTTTGAGAAGAGGTTTCTACATATAATAAAAAATTGAGCACTTCTTTGTCCTCTTTAAATCCTAACTATATGGGCAGATTTAGACATAATTAGCAATTGATATTCACTATTTTCTTTCTGTTAAAAAAGTTCTCATCATTCTTGTCTGATAGTCATAGCTGAATGTAGCTCTGCTAAACAGGAAACATGTCTAGATAAGCTACAATTTTACGATAAAATATCAGGAAAAACTGGATGTAGAATGTAATTTTGTAGAGCTCTATTATGTTTAGAACTACATCGCGTTTGACGGCTTAATTTATGAGTTGAATGCAATTTAAAGGTCGCTTTTGCTTCGTTATATTTTACTAAACAACAACAGCAACAACAACAGGTACAGAAAAGAAGGTTCGTTAGTGTTTTAATTTAAATCCTCATTCAGTAACCGGCTTCACATCCCTTTATATTTTAAAAGTGAAGGGGTAGCGATACTTGTCCGCGCTGAAGCTCTCATTACTCTGTTAAAATGCTTAGCGCTCCTCCAACGTCCCAACCCCTTTTTAACTCCCTAATTATCTTCGTCTTTCTCTCTCCTTCTCATTCTTTTCATCGGTCCGACGTTGGCTTTTGTGAAATTTCGTTCCTAATAAATGGAAGGTTGGTTTACTAGACAAAAAAAAAACGGTTGAACAAGCGGAACACCATGTTGCTCCCTGTGGGATTTCCCAATTCAGAAACTAATTAGCCCGTTGGTGAAGAAACATTCACTTACGGAAATGTCTATGCATCTATGCACTCGTTCAGCCGGCGTGGCGCTGCATGGCGCGATATGTGTGGATAGTTGAAATGGAAAATACACCTTCCTGAACTCGCGCTGAACAATTAGGGGAAACTGAACAACCGGAATGGACATCCGGACCATACCGCTCCAAGAAACCCAAAATTATCGGAACAATTTCGGAACAAATCCAAATAAAATATTATAGTAATTTAGGAAATCATAGACTAGGTTTCAAAATTATAATTATGCGATACAAGGACATCTACCATCTAAATAAATGAGTAAAGTAAAACAAAAATACTGGTATGCAAGAGAAGAAAAAGTAGAGGAACAGCGAATATAAAGATAGGAGACGAAAAATTAGAAAAAGTGGCCAATTTTAGGTACCTAGGAGGTCAGATAAGTCAGGACGGAAGGAGTAGTAGGGATATAAAGCAGACGATAGCGGAGGGTCGAGTCGCCTTCTATAAAAAGAAGTCACTTATATGTTCGCGAACGATTAATTTAGAAATTCGAAAAAGATGTATGTTTGGAGCGCGACGCTGTACGGGTGCGAAACATGGAAAGATGAGCGCGGTAGAACAGATGACTCTATGGAAGTCAATAAGAAATAGGCGAGATACCCTAATAGGACAGGCATGTAGGTCTAGTCCGAGACGTATTAGAGGCAGAAACAGAAGTTAGGAGGGGTAGAGGTAGATCTAGATCAGATTACTGTTCACAAATAGTTAAGGATGTGGGTTGTTCTAGTTTTAGGAAAATCGTTATTAAAATGGTCCCGTGGTTGTCCATCGTAGATGTGGTGCAATCTTCACATTCTAAAAAAGTAGACTCGTGTTTCAATATTTTATTGAAATAATAAAGATAATAAAACCGATAGTTAGGGGTTGGTTTTACGAAAAATCTTTTCTTGGTGCACCACTGCATCCAGCAACCAACATTGTCGAAACTTGATGTTTGTATCTTCAGTGATTTAAGTTGTGCATTATCTGTGCGGCAGTCACGTAACTGTTTCATATATTGATTTAGAAAGTTTAGACTTTAAACTATAACTATTAAGCTCTAAATACGATTTCTTCCTCTACTTCTTAATTCGTATGTAATTAGACGTTCTTTCAACCTATTTAAAGATAATAAAAGATTCTGCAGACTTTTAATGTTATTTATTAGATTAAGGCGTGTAGTGTAGCCGGTTCGTCTTAGGAGAACTACATTTAAAATAACAGTTAACTCGGAAGAGAGCTATTTAAGTAATTCGAAGCACGATTCCGGTGTAACTCTTGATATTGTTTCCGTTGTACCATTTCTTTCCAAATGTGCACATTAACTTGGTTCGGGCAGATTTATAAACCATTACGGAGCAAAATAATAAAACAACTACCACTGAATTGGAGGAAAGAAACAACTCAAATTTATCAGATAAACTATTCCATCGTCGATACGGGAAACGAACAAACTTGGGAGAAGTTATGACTATACTTGTATCTCAAAATCAGTGATATGACCTAATTTGGAGATCAAGAAAATTTACTGTTGACTACTACCCTAATATAAAACCAAAGACAATCAAACACTGGAGGAATTATTCGGAAACTCCACAACCACATTGTACTATACAAAGTCGTAACTTATATAAACTATAGGTATTAACAATTAATTCTTAAGTTTACTACCACTTTAATAAACGCGAATTCCCTAATATGATTCCATCGCGTTCAAAGTTTATTAAACAGAGTTCTGCAGTCCCGATCTATTTTAATAAATCACAGATCACCACCGTTCTCTCCTAATTAAACGTAGATCCTTGTCGAGCATTGATGTTGAGGGATGTATCCCTAAAGACCGTCGTCTCGATTAACTAGTTAATCATCTTTACTTCATAAGCTGTTCTACACAACGCTGCATAAATAACGTTGTTGTAACTTATATATGTTGTCGTCGGTCTGATGGAAAATTTTCACATTTTCCGCGGTTTTGTTTCCAACGTCCATGTTTCGACAATAACTCACCACCGTCAAAAGTTAGAAACAAAACATCAGCTGGCCAGTTAATTTACCATCCCTGGGGATGATAATTCTAATTATGATAGATGGTGGCGTCCAAACTTCCGTTTCCGGTAGATACCGGCCTGAAAAAGTAACGAATGCAGTTTGGTGGTAGGTAAAACAAAAGCGACAATACATATACCCTAGACAAAAATTTTCAGTCTCTCAGAGTCTTTCGGCGTTTCTGAGAGCGTCTCTCGGAGTCTTTCACAGTCTCTCAGTTATTGCCTGAGTGTTTTTATGGATCTCTCACAGTCTCTGTACGAGAGACTCGAATGATAAAATTGTTAATTCAGAGATTCGAGTGTCTCACAGAGAGACTGAATGAATAAAACTGAAAAATTGAGAGACTCGAGTCTCTCGTAGTAAGACTGGGATCTCGGAAATATGTTGAACTTCGAAAATTCTAACCATGTCTATCGAGACACCACTTATTGAGAGATTCGAGTCTCTCGTTCAGAGATTCGAGTTTCTCGTTCAGAGACTGGGTACAATATGAATATCTCTGTATGAGCGACTCGAGTCTCTCGTTCGGAGATTCCAGTCTCTCGTTCAGAGATTCGAGTCTCTCGTTCAGAGATTCGAGTCTCTCGTTCAGAGATTCGAGTCTCTCGTTCAGAGATTCGAGTCTCTCGTTCAGAGACTGGATACGAAATGAGCATCTCTCTATGAGCGACTCAAGTCTCTCGTTCAGACATTCCAGTCTCTCGTCCAGGGATTCGAGTCTCTCGTTCAGAGACTGGATACGAAATGAGGATCTCTCTATAAGCGACTCGAGTCTCTCGTTCAGAGATTCGAGTCTCTCGTCCAGAGATTCGAGTCTCTCGTTCAGAGACTAGATACGAAATGAGGATCTCTCTATGAGCGACTCGAGTCTCTCGTTCAGAGATTCGAGTCTCTCGTCCAGAGACTGGAGACGAAATAAGGATCTCTCTATGAGCGACTCAAGTCTCTCGTTCAGAGATTCGAGTCTCTCGTCCAGAGATTCGAGTCTCTCGTTCAGAGACTGGATACAAAATGAGGATCTCTCTATGATCGACTCGAGTCTCTCGTTGAGAGATTCCAGTCTCTCGTCCAGAGATTCGAGTCTCTCGTTCAGAGACTCGGCTAGGTAGACATACGTACTGCAGCAAAAATATATACACTAAATGTAAGAGAGTGGTTATAACTTCCAAGGATAATAAGCAAAATCATATTTTTTTTCTTTTTCGGAAGTGTGAATAGTACAAGAAATTTTAAGCAGAAATCTTTGAAAAAACAGTACGATTATAAATAAATACAATACAATACGATACTGTAATATACTTGCAGTTGATGCACTTCATCTAGCTTACTTACCGTCAGTTAGTTATTGTTTAATGTTAATTCAATTTGCTGTCTGGCGGTTTACACACCCTGTTAATTAAACAGGAAAATCAGAATAATTTGCTTCGGTCGCGCGTAAAGAGTTATTTTATTGTTATATTGTAATTATTTATTTATGAATCGGCAGCACGAGCATAATATCCATGCAAATTTATGAGATGTAAACAGGCGCATCTCTCCATAACACCGGACACTCGTTAATTCCACACCTGCGAACTCATTAAACTCATTTTAAAATGCTTATAATAATAAATTCGGAAATATGAATTGCAAAGGTAAATACAACATTTAGATATGTGTTATTCAAATAAAATTTAATTATAATTATAAATGGTCGCATAAAAATTATATTCGTATTTTATTGTATGTACGCGAGGCAAATTAGTAGACATTTTACCAATTAGTTACAAGAACATAAAAACGGTTTCATGTTATCGTATTAGTAACATCCCGAAACCGTTTTGCAGAGGGTACAACTTGGTATAGTTGTAAAAGAATATACAATAGCATTGTCATTAACGTAAAATGTGAGGATATTCTTTAGGGGGCATTAAACAGGGTGAAAGGTGGAAGCCGAAAAAAAAATTTTAAAAGGATCATGTTGGGTAACAAACGAATACTAATAAAAATAAGAATCAGGAAATGTGTAATCTATTAATCAATTTATCACAAGCTTTTGTTATTAGGTATTTTCTTCAAGATTTACAGAATTATTTGTTTAAATCAATAAAATCTCATTTGACGTTTTGTCAATTTTTTCAAAAGCTCCAGCATCAGTGGAAGCCATAATGTTAATCCGAACGTTAATCATTACTATTCAAACAAGGGTGCAATTAATTTTGGAATTTAATAACAACGTCATGCTAAATCCGTCGTGACGTATAAGCGGATAATGCAACGTTATGACAGAGTTATTATTTGCCCAACTAAATATTTGCTTGATTGTTCACTATCATCGCTGGATGTGTTGTATTCATTCAGGCAAAGCTTGCAATGTTTATCAAGAACCACTGAGCGAATTATCTAACGTGATGTTTAGATCCGGCACCTCGGTCAACATCGGACCAATTCAGTTCATGCTGCAGAAATTAATTTGCCTAATCAATGGGCCAATTCCAGAACAATATTCTCTCCAAACAATAAAAAACTATACGAATCTAGAGACAATTCTAACGGAGATGCTCTATATACAACACCACTCAGTAATCGATAACAGAACTCATCAATAAAAACACCTTTGAAATATTTTAATTGATATCAAGGCAAAAGTATGCACATACATGAATAAAACTGCTGAAAATGTTATATATAAAAGAAATTATGAGTGCTGCCAGCACAGGGCAAAGTACTATAGTATTACGTAAATGAATGTTAGTATCAGCAATTTCTTATGCTGAAGTGTACGATGTGTTGCATACGTATTTACAAACAGTTCCTTTTTTTCAAACAAATTGTTCAGAAAAGTGAATTTCAACCACTCGAAGCTATGGTGCTATTGATAGTAAATGATAGTAATTGAAAATAATAGTCATCTTGCTTACTAATATCTACGATCCTTTTGTACGCAGTCAGTCAAATATGAACAAGAAAAAAAATCTTGAAATTAGGGAGCTATTTAGAAAAATTTTTGTATGGTTAATGTCAATATGTTAAAGTGAATTAATTTTTTAGTGGTAAAACAGCATTGGTTCGACGATGCTGTGACTTACGTAGTTAGGTACGCATCGTCGTTACAGCTGCTGTATCTCTCGTAGCTTACTGATGAAGTAAAGGTGTGTAAAGCTCGGGTTCGATTCGCGGCGAGAGCGTGACCACAGCAGTCATTTTTTTTTTTCATTAATTTGAGATTATTTGTAGTCGTAAAAAAATTAATTCACTTTAATTAAATTCTATTGGTATTATTGTTCATAAAATCAGTTTTTTTTCTCCTTTTGTTTCAGAGATACGTTGTCCCACTCGGTCAAACACAAGGGTGGAACTTTACAGCTTGAGTACGTGCAAAATTTAACGGACCTCTTCCAGAAAACGTTCAGGTCGCAGTTCGTGTTCCCGGCTCTAGGACACGACGATCCAGGCTTTAAAAAGCACCTAAGTAGCATGTGGAGTAGATGGCTCCCAACTGATTCCCTAACAACTTTCGAATCAGGTAGGCTTAGCGTCATGTTTAGTCGTAACTTTAAAAGATGCTTTTAAACCCTAGAAAGCACTCAGACATTTCTTGAATCATTAAAAAATAACAGGCAAGCACAAAACGGGGAGTTTCAACTTGTCATTACTTTAATATTGTAAACAATTACGTTCACGCGGCACTTTGCGCATCGTCTAAGTTTCACGCTAAATTTTAATGAACCGATGCAAAAGTTTGATATAGACCTAACTTTATTGTTAAGTTTTAAAGATAAAAATATTTCGTTTCGGATTTAACATCCAAATTGAACTTGACTTAAGATTCTACCAAATTCCTAAGGCACTTACAAAACTCCCAATAGAATTAATAAATTGAGATGCACGATTAGGTATGATGGGTGGATACGTTTGCGAAATTGATTAATTATTATTGTAGTGGCAATAGCTAGCCTTCATATAAAACTTACTTACCGAATACCTGTGTGAAGATGCTTCATAGGTAATTAGTAAAATAATTGCACATAGTGGTATACTTCATTTACTTTCTCTTGCGATGTGCCCCTTCCAGTGTCTTGGATGCGCGCTGGCAAAATTTTTTTTCATACAGTACCTGCCAAAAGTTTTGTTCAATCATGAATAGTAGTGCATGTCGAAAACAGGCGTTAAAGCCTTTAATATATTTTCAAATATAAATAAACATTTCATTGATATTTTCAGTAATAAATGGTACCAATAACAGCACATTCGAGCAATTGCAATTGTAGTAGATAAACTGGTCGATTTTTCCGTGCAGTACTGTGCGGATTATACGCTCCTCACCGGTTAAGGGTTTGGCCGAGAGTTGTCTCCTTTCTTTTCTGGCCTAGTGCTGTTCTTTTCTACTTTGCGCCGATCAAACTGAAGGTCACATCGCTACAGAAAGTAAACGAAGTATAGCAATTAATTAATATTAATTTTTTAATCTTTCCATCGTGATGATGTAACGAGTTTAAATCCCGATTGTTGTTTTGATTGATATTATATTTCAACACTTTTCGTTGTATTCCAGGTGGCTATTATATAGTGGAAAGGAAAACGTTTCAGTTACAAATAATCATGTTAAATACGAACTTAATGACAAGAAATAAGCATGATGAAGATGCTAAAAAGCAATGGGACTGGTTAAACCGTGTTCTTGAAAAATGCGAATCTTTAAAACAGACTGTAAGATACTCTTGTAATCTCGATGATTTTTTGATGAGATTCATATATTGATTGATTATTCCAGGTGTATCTTGTTGGTCATATACCACCCGGTTCTGATGAAAGACGAGGGTCACTAGAAAGATATTTTTCCGACTATTATAACAAAAAATATATACAAATCGTTCAGAGATATTCCGGTACGATAATGGGGCAATTTTTTGGCCATCTCCATTCTGATTCCTTTAGGGTTATGTATAACGAAGAGGGTAAGCAATTTACCATTTGTTATTTGTTTCATTGTTACACGATAGGGTATTTAAATATAATTCAATTTAAGTTAAAGTAAGTATATTTCTATACATACTTAAATTATATCGTTTTAAGGAACCCCTACGAGTTGGATACTCTTAGCTCCTTCTCTAACGCCTCGAAGGATGAGCAATGGGCAAAATAATCCTGCCTTGCGACTTTACAAATTTAACAAATACACAGGAGAAGTAAGAACGAAATTTCTTTTTTTTTTGCTTCGTAATTAGTTATCATATTTTATGTTGTTCCCCCCTTTCGTAAAGACAAATGCTTTAAATTGTTGGATGTAAAATGTAAGTAGGTAGATATAAAATTTTATCTTCAATTTCCCGAACTCATTTAGAACGGAAAACAACAGAATATTATGTTAACGCAGTATAGAATCCATTAATTTTAAACGTACCCACAGCCTCTTCATTTCGGTCTTTATATTAATAACTTGATATAAGAAACCAATTCAAGCGGCTGTCCAATATTTGTTTTAAACCTGTTTTCTTTTGTACTTAAATATTTTACCCGGTCGTGCAGAATTTCCTGAAGGAACCACGTGCCCCATTATTTAATGCGTAGATACGTATTTCCTTGGTATTTCCCTCTATTCTGCTTGTTTTCAAATAAATATATTGTTGTGTATGGACCTACCTATCATCATGCTAAAATGTTTTCAGGTTTTGGACTACACTCAATACTATTTGGATTTACCCAAGGCCAATCGTAACGAAGTCGATTGGCAAGTGGAATATAACTTTACTACGTATTACGGATTGACTCAAATAACACCAACAAATTTGAACAGTTTAGCCAAAAGAATAACCTTCTACAACGAAGACGACACGTTTGCCAAGTAAGTTACCGAAATCTGTTGCCTGCTTTTTAATATCACAATTTGTTACTTCTTTCTGCATTTTGACCTGCATGAGTATGTATTATACAAAGAGGTAGCAACATAAATATTAGTTTGTTGCAAATGATGTGTGATGCACATTCGATGTTTTAATGTGATGCAAATATTTGCTGTGCTTCCAAACACACATAGATCGCCGAAAAAAAATTGAAGACAAGAATCATAATTGTACCTATATACCCTCATTCCTTCATAACTAAACTTATCCAGAACTATACTTCGTTTACTTTCTGTAGCAATGTAACCTTCAATTTGACCGGCGCAAAATAGAAAAGAAAGGAGACAACTCTCGGCCAAACTCTTAACCGGCGAGGAGCGTATAATCCGTACAGTACTCCACGGAAAAGTTGACCATTCTATTCACTACGATTCCATTGCTCAAATGTGCTGCTATTGATACCATTTACTACTGAAAATATCAATGAGATGTTTATTTATATTTGAAGACATATTAAACGCTTGAACGCTTGTTTTCGACTCGCACTACTATTCATGATTGAACAAAACTTTTGGCAGGTACTGTATGAAAAAGTACGTTTAATGAACAAGAGTCGAAAGTATAATGAGCTTTTTCTTCCCTATCTACGATTTTGCCAGTGCGCATCCAAGACATTGGAAGGGGCACATCGCTAGAGAAAGTAAATGAAGTATATCTCAGTTTTGGTTTATCTTAATTACGACACATATGTCTAAATTATATATTTGAACACCCCTTTAATTGTAACATATTATAACCAATTTGCGCCATGAAAGGTATTGTAACGTAAATGTTATTCAACCAAATCAGAAAACACTTTTCTTATCGATTAGCCAGTCGCAACTACTTTAGGCCGAAGTTCAATAATAACTAACACCGAAACACCAGCGCTGCTTTGGTATTCCTACTTTAAATATCCAACAAGCTTTATGTGTTACAAAAGACTTATCGTTAGTGTAGGTCTATATAGTTAGGACATTCGAAATTGCATCAGTACTAGACTGGAGAAAAAAACATTCTCTTCATATGCATGTGCCAATCGTAACGATTTAAGTTTTGGTATTTCCTTTATTCCAAATCGTAGGTATTCCTATAGGTAAATGTACATTTACAGTTATATTTTTAAGGTATTACAGCATGTTTTAAATCCGCTTGGTGTTACCAGTGTGTAGTTTACAAAATATTACTTGTTAGTGCTTGTGCTGCATGAGTGTTTGACAAAATACTCTTCTGTGTTTTGTTTTGCATTATTATGTTATATATTAAAGTGCCTCATAGAGTTATTTGTGCTGATCCACGAAAACGATGAATACAATGGTCAGATTGGTTTGTCACAACACAGTGCTTAAATCATTAAAAACTACTGTCTATTTCAATTTGTTAGAATTGTGACCTTGAAGAAATCTGCGCGAAGATAAACAGAATACACACTAGGCGTGAGCAAGACAGATATAGTTGGAACAAGCTTGAACGAGCAGAGCTCTCGATGGGCGATCGTAGGAGATCGGCTAGAACTGTACAGTACTAGACGAAAATGTTTAGCAATTTCTTAAAACAAAAATGTATATAAATTAACAATAGAAAACATAGCAAAAGTTTTATAGGTGTGTAGAACGTTAAGTTAATTCACTTGTCATTATTTTTGGTTAAATATGCTTTTAAATAAAGCATATTCTTAAATTTTAACGGGGCAGTTTAAATAATTTTGCAAATGGTACTGTACACTTTTGTCTAGTTCTCGTTCGATGATCGGTGGAGAAATGAGCTACGCAGACAAATATGATTGAATTTGGAATTATGCTACGGCGCATCCTAATAAAAGGAAGGGGCATATCTCTAACTTCTTGAAACGAACAGTAGTTCCTTATTGCTCGTGTTGGACCCTCTGAAATCAACTGCTTCACCTACGCCTATGAGTAGTTAGTAGACACCTAATGTTTTAAATACTTCCTGCATGGTATAACGTTTAAATTTTGCTACCAGACCTAGCATGTTTAATGGGAGGATTCTTGAAGGATTGATCCTAAGAAATGCTTAATTTTGTAAAGATATTTCAGAGCAAATTCAGTAAAAATTTACAACGCGTCCCAGTCGGTTTGCGACTCGAGTTGTGCGCATAGTCACTATTGCGCCATAACTTGCGTGGACTTCACAATGTTCGACGAGTGCTTGAAAACTGCGCCCAGCGCGTTTCTCTCGTCTCAAGATGCAATCTTCATCAATGGACTCCCGTTCGTATACCGTATAATCGTCGTTGTTCATCTGTGTGTGCTGTGATAAAATTTTTGTATCCTCTACTTTTAGGGAATTTGAGTGTAAAATATGAAACTTGGTATTTTTCAAACTGCGAAATATGTACCAAATATTTTAATAAATTATTAGTTTTCTCTTTTTTAGCGAATGTTTTAATTATTCTCCTTGCTCCTACAAACGAACTTATCTCTTTGCAGTTTTAAAAACTCACTGTTTACTAATACCAAAATAATTGCTCTGCGATAGATACTATTTAGAATCATTAAAAAATTAACAAAGCAGCAGGTTTCATCTTATAATTAATTTAATAATGTACCTAAACAATAATTAAATTCGCATGACACTACGAACGTCATCCAGCTGCATACCCACCATACGATAAGTTTCACACTTAATTTTAATGAAGCAATTAAGAAGTTCAGTGAAGAACTAACTTAATAATTGAGGTTTAAAGGGAGTGGCACTCAATAACGTAAATTTTTGTTTCGAAGTTTACTTTCAAATTGAACTCGAACAAAGATATGCCATTGAAATAATAAAACAGACAAAATATCATAGCAGAAAATCAGATATATAAGGCGGATAAATAAATCACATGTAAACGAATGCATTATCTGATGTTCAATCTTCACTTGAAGAAGCAACTAGCGTAGTGTAGTGAAACAATTTTATAGTATTAGTAAACTGTAAGCATTTATTCATTCCTTACATGTATTTGATACCCAGAGTAGTTTTATTGACCACATTCGAATATGAAACCAATCAGAATTTGAGTGCGAAATCTCTATAGAGAATGTAAACGAAATCGATGACAAATGTATCTAAGAATGAGAAAGTGACTAAATAAATTATCTGTACATTTAAAATAAAACATTCTAAATTAAAAAAAAAATGAACCCCACTGTACTGGAATACAGGTAAGTGAACATTCAGGTTATAATAACACATTGAAATTGAAATTCTCACCACACAATTATGTTATTATCCACTGTCCAGGTATAAATTTATGTTTTATGTACATAAGTCTATATTTACTTTTCTGTATTAATTATAAATGCATCTGTTGGACGTTATCAGCTTGTCTGTTTATTGTTCCTATTCATTAATTAAATTGGGTAACAATGCCGATTGTAGTAAATTCACTAACTCACTTCGTAATTGAAATGAGAATTCTATTTCTCAAACAATTATCCTTACGCTACAAATAGCTGGACAAATATAGCCTCCTACGTATATGTCAGAATGAAAAGAACAATTTTTATTTCCTAAAAATCATCTCTATTAAAGGATTCAGTCTTACGCAAGTATCTTAAATGCATTGAAAAATTCAAGAAGACTTAAGTTTGGTATTAGGTACCTACTAGCATTATGATTTGCATCATCGACAGGAATTTTTTTTTTCTAAAACTGTTAAGAACTTAAATGAGCGTAGATCGCAGAGTTATGGGAGGCATGTCGACCCCTATCGATCGTCAGATCTGTCGCTCGATGATTTTATTTTCATATACGCGAACACAGAAGTATTTTCAATATTATTAAAAATCTCATTAGTCACTCACAAAACAATTTCTTGTTAGGATTATTATGGGTAATTGATTTTTTTTACATTAGACGTTGTGAAAGAAACAAAAACTAATTCAAATACTACGCATTCGTTTCATATCTGAAACACGAACGGCTTTCAGAAACTAAAAGGAGTTGGGTGAAACACGATTTGCAGAGATACCACATACTTTAGTGCTTTCGACATCAATAGAAATTGGTTCTAAGGATTGTACTCAAAATCCTCTTAGGGTTGGGTTGAGAAAACCGCCGCCAGATTACGTATACACAAAGATAACACAAAAAAGTTCTAAGACTTTAGTATAGCCGAAAAGATAATTCATTTATTGCTTGTTTCTCATTTTGCTTAGTTATTGTTTAGAAGTACAAATATTACTTCTAATAGTTGTTTAAGAAATCAACTTAAACTATTATTTCCAAACTGAATGTGGAAATCAAAGAATTTCAAAAACATAATAATAATAGAACTGTTTTTCCAGAACTTTTCAGACAAAGTTATCTAATAATAAGCTAGATCTCTTCTGGTCCTCGTTTATAAGTAAAATTACTATTAGTCTTTATTTAAAGATCAACTAAGAAACAATTTTTAGCTCTAGTTTGTTTATTTCTCTTTTTTGAAATTGCAAAAACTTCTGAATACTTATATGAAATAGAATTATACAAAAAACAAAATGAAATGTTATTTCAGTTAATTGTAAACATTTTCGTGATATTCAAGAGAATAAAACCATAGGTCCAACTTAATTAAAGAACGATTACATTTTAAAAAAGTTGAATCCCTTAGCCTAACCCATTTTATTTTGTATAGCTGCTTGAGCCATTGACGATCCCGAACAAATTCGATGTTTATAGCATTGAGACACATAATCGGGAAAACACTTAATAATTTGCTTGAAATACCTACTGAATTTACACGGTTCTTCACATGAATAGGATCAAATAAGCATGTTTTTAGTACCCTTCTTTTCATCAAAAGCTACTTCCTTCAAAATAATAACTACGAAATACTTTTTCATACGGTCGTGCTATAGAAAACGAAGTTTCTTCTTTTTTTCATATTCGAAAAGAAGTCTTTACAAATCTTAAAATACGGAAGTTTAATGCTTTTGAGGGAAAATTATTAAATATTTTACATGGTAAAGAAATTAAATAAAAAACTTTTTCTTTATAAATCTCATATCAATGGAAACTGCTTCATTTTATGCCAATGCAAATACCAAAACACAAATTCTATTAACGACGAGGTGGTGTAAACGTCGCAACAATAAAACAGGGAGTAAATAAAGGAAACATCTTCATATGAATTTGTACCTAGAGCTAAGGCTTCATTGAATATATGTACTCGTACGGGCAAGTGAATGAAATTGGAAACCTGATGGCACAAAATTTTTCTATTTCAATTGAAAAACGTTGACAAAACGACAACTGTCTATTTCGCTTTTTAAATTACTTTTTAATTATATTAAGGCCGGTGTTGTTATGGGTGAAATGGCAAACCGCACGTGACAGTTTAATTACTCAGAACTGTTCGGTTCAGGTAACGGGCGGGAAAGTCCCGCCGCCCCGTGCCGAACCGAGCGGCCCCGCGCGCGCAAAACAAAAATTAGAAGGTTTTCCAACACAATAATTATTGTGAAACAGCATCAATTCACTTCACAACAGATAACAATGACGGCGACGTCGCTAACGAATACGAAACACGCGAACTTTAAATCTACATCGATGCATTCTGATAGGTTGAAAACTGCACGCCACAACAACAATGTTACATTTGTATATGTACGTTTATATGTATGTGCGAGGTGGTAGCAATCACGAAAACCAATTTCTATTCACTTTCAGTTCACCATGGAACCCGATATACGCCATTTATTTTCAAAATTGAAAACCGACACGATTAATATTGACTTTGGTGCCAACTTGTGTATAGAATTGCCATTAAAGTGGGATATATTCACTGGGAATAACCGATGCCCCTATTGTAAAATTCCGACTTTTACCCGCATACGAGTCCTTTCATTCCTGGTATGCACGAATCGCAATTTTAAGGAGCATTTTTTTCGGTGCGTTCTTGATAAAACTAACGTTTCAACGTATTTATTTTTACGTAACTCGTCAATTGTTTCGGTCAATCGGTCTTCGTCAGTATTTTTTATTGAATTTTGAATCGCCTTTAACAAAAAAGTCACGTCTATGCTCTCGAACGGTTAATTTAGAAATTCTAAGAACCGTAAAAGAAAGGGTTAAACTCGTTCGCAATGGGGTGTTACAGGAGAATGATGAGGGTATAGCATTCGGGAGGACGCCGGTTCGATTCCGGGTCCGTCTGCCTTGGTCCAAGTTTTTCTGTGGTTTCCTTGGATCACTTAGGCAAATGCTGAGGCAGTAATATTCCACAGATAATCTTTCATTCTCTTCTATCTTCATTTCGTCCGTCTCATCTTTCTCACCCGAACCACCACCCACCCATTCCCACGATTCCTGAAAGCAGACTGAAGAGGGCTTTCCGCCTTACCTTCCGGCGTAGTCCAGAGGGACTGCCCACCCACCAGCATATGTGGCTGGTGGGAATGAAACACTCAAAAGTTTTTTTTTTGTCCAACCAGTCTTAAGACTGACGACCTTATGATAATTGTCCTGGACGACCCCAATATAATAATGATTTTACATAAAGTATTAACGGATATGTAATATTTCTGATCGGTATGGTCGTGTCCTTAATTCCTGCTCGATTAATATTCGAATAGTTTAATATCTGAAGAACATCAGTAATACCGCGCTGTGCGATTCGTATTAGAGTTACGCCCATCAGGTTCTGGTGCCATTATTGAGTTTTTGAGCAAAAATTCAATTCTACTGAACACATCACCATCGTAAATGAAGAATCCGTTTTAGTAAGTTATGCAATAGGATATTGACTGTCAAATTAAAGGAAATTCAATTGCTAACAGGACAGAGCGAATGTGGTGGTTGTAACAACAAAAATTAACCAAACCGATGGTGTTCTGATGCTAAAGCTGAACCCATCTCCCGAGCTTTTACAGACACGCCACCATTCAATTCATTACACAGTAAATGAAAATTGCCGAAAAGCGTCTACTTGTTACATTATTAAAACTCGGAAACTGTTACATACGTATGTTTTGATACGGTCTACATTACGCTCACAATGTTTTAAAATCAACATCCTGGAGGATACTGACATGTGGATTTCCGTATTTACTCTGTTTTGATTTAGCAATGAGCCACTTCATATGATGAAGATTACGCTGTTATAAATAGTAATTTTCGAGTATTTGAAAAAGCACCAGAGTCGGACTCAGAACAATAAAGTAAGATCAGTAACGTAGAAATTGCTAGCTACTTTTTATCTTGGACAATTAAAGTGTCGAACCAGTTCATTAACAACACAATTATTTTATTTAAACGTTTGCAGAGTTTAACAAATACCGTGAGTTTGTTGAACGAAATAGGCAAATTCCTGATTGCATCATTGTATTCAAAATACTGTAATGGCTGGTGCTGATAAAGCAGAAATTGTTTTGCCCCAAAACGAATACCTCTAAATGTTTTGAACTAAATGCGTTCA